TCTCGGCTGGTTTCTGTAGAGTTTCTTTGTTTTTTGGATTTTACTAGTTCTTAGTAAAAACGTTCAAAAATGAGGTCAAAACACTTTTTATTGAGTTTATTTTACTATATTTTTACAGTGTAAGCCCACTTCTAGTTCATTCCTATGAGTAGAACACGGTGGTGTGTGAACTTCAGGTTCTGTTCAGCTTCTCTCAGAACCACCTGTTCTTCTCTAAGTCTCGGTTCTGCTGCTGCGTCTCCAGCAGCCTCTGGGCTCGTCTCAGGGTGACGGAGCTGCAGCTGGAGGTTTGATGAACATTGACCCTCAGTCGCCTTTAATTTGTTTAATTATCGAGCGGCTGCGCTGTAATCAGCGAGGTGCCGCTCTGAGGCCGAGCAGCGGTGAAGACCTGAGCTGATGGCTGATGGCAGCAGCTGATGGGTCGGTGGGTTCTGCTGATGTCAGCACAATCAGGAGCAGAACGGGTCCTCAGAACCAGCAGGACCAACAAGTGAAGGTTCAGAGGCTCTGAGGTTAATATTGATGTTAATGTGGGGATCAGACTTTGTGGTAAATTACAGTAAAATCGTTGCTCACAGTTTGTTCATGTTTACAGGAAACTACAGTTAAAGATGATCAGAGTGGAAACAAACAAAGACAGGAAGTCAGAACCACATGTTCTGCTGTAGAGGACACTGTAAAAACAAAAAGAGACAGAAAACTAAATTTTAAAAAATCCTGTTAAAACAAGGACTAAAGAAAATCTGTAGTGAGTCTCAGAGTTGGTTATTTCCAAGAAAAAAGGATAAAATATCATAATGTAAAAAACAAAAGGTAAAATAAATAAATAATGTCAGCTATCTGTACAATAATGTTTTTGTAGATTTAAATTCAGCAAAACTGTCATTTAGAAGTTATAATTTGTAAAAATACAAATTCTTGATGTGGATTTAATAAACATGTTTGTTTTTTAACAGTCAACATGTAAATTAATGACGTGTTTCCAGTGATTTTACTAAATATGATCTGTGATTTAACAAAACAGGGAAAATCTGTTTAATAAGACAAAAAAACAAACAACAACTCTTTAATATACATGTTTCCCATCAAATAACAGAAAATATCTGGAAAATAAGATTTTATTTATTTTTTGAATTTTTGCAGGTTCAAATACAGTAAAAAAAAAAAAAAGTTCCACAGTTAAACATTGTTTTAAAAAAAATAACAAAGTTCAGTAATTAGTACAGATAGTATCTGTAATTTAACAAAACAGAAAAAAACTGTAAAAAAAAAAAAAATTGTAAGCTCAGTACTTTTAATTTTTCTATTAAATTACAGCACTTAAAAAAAATAAATATCACTTTTTTTCTGATTTAAATGCAGTAAAAAATATATNTGGGCTCACACACACACACACACACACACACACACACACACACACACACACACGTCTGAGAGGCAGGTTCGGTCCTAAAACACATCAAACTGAGCTGAACAAAAGTCCTGAGATATGCAGAGCAATGCAGCTGCCCTCTCCTCCCTCACAGCGCGATGCGCAAAGACGCGGTTGCGCAATTTGGGGTTCGGAACCGAACGCTGCTGCTCATCCTTTTAAGTCCGCGCGCGCTCCGGAGCCCGAACCACGCACCTTTCTCCAGGTCCGTGATCCGGTGGTGCAGCGAGGTGAGCGTGGACTCCACTCGGTTCCGCTGCTCGGTGTCGTTCCGGGAGCCCGGCTTGCTCTCCTCCAGCGTGTTGACGCGCGACAGCACCTGCTTCTCCATGTCGTCGATCTTGTTCTGCAGCAGGTCCTTGAGGCTGTTGGCTTGCGCGGTGCTGTTGCCTCTGCTGTACTGCTGCAGGAGGAGACACACACTCGGTTAGAGACTTCCTGTCATCACTACACGGTTCTACGCTCTCATCCTACCGCCTGCTTCTGTTCTGTTTGGGTTTTACGCTCTGCGGCACATAAACGGACACAAGCAGCACTTTTACGCGCCGCGTCTCTCCGGCTCTGAGCAGGAAAGACACACAAGTGGCTCCGA